GAAAGGAGAAGTGAATGAAGGAAAGGAAAGAAAAAGGAGAGGAGAGGGAATGGATAGGAAAGCAAAGGTGAGGAAAGGAAAGCAAACAAAAGACAAATAAAAAAACATACTGTAGATGGAAAGACTAGTCCAGAAAAGGGAGGGGAAGGGAAGGGAAAGGAGAAGTGAACAGAATTAAGCAACAGGAGATGAAAATAAGTACATGTTAGATACAAGAAGGACTGGAAAGGATAGGGAAATGAGTTGCGCCATCTTTTGGCGCCACCATAATTATCATCATTAAAACCAATTGAAATTTAGCAGAGATGTTGTCTACAAAAATCAAGGACTTATATCAGTGTTCTTTGCAGAAGATGGCGCAAGTATAGGTGGAATGCCATTTATTATGCCTGAGGATGCATAGGTATATATGTGTTTTTTTTTTCACGGTTTGCCGCGTGCGCTTTTGGCACTTTCTGGTGCCATCTGTTCGTTTCCGGATATAGCCATCTATTCTGAAAATGGTGTATATATAATATATAGTATATAAGTTAGTACCAAACCAAGCCTGTCCAAACATCCATGAATATATTACGCAGTCTCCCAACGACAGCTTCAGACTTGCAGGCTGGTGTCTTCTTTATCACAGGGCGCTTTCAGGCCTTTTGAATTGCATTTTTTGCTAGTAGATTGGAGGCCATCGGTAGTAGGTCGGAGGCCATCGCTCTTAGGTTGGAAGCCATCGTTATTAGGTTCCTTATGCTAGTAACTCCCTGAAGCAGTGCAAAGCAGTGCATGAACACGTGAGCTCACGTGGAATTGCTTGAGAAAACCTTTTAGAGGCATTTGCGATCAGCCGTGCGTGCGAACACTGGCGCCAAGGCACGTCAGTAGTTGTGGGCCAATCTCAATCGCTGGATTTAGTGTTCTCTTTTCTGTCTTCTGTTTGGGAGGATCCTGTCACTCTTCAGTTCAGTGCAGTTTCAAGAATTTCTCTGCTTGGGTGGGGAAGGCAGGCCGATACTACTTCGAGGTCCAGGTGCCAAACTCGCTGACAGTTGACAGAAATCCAAGACTCATGCCAATACCTGTCACACCACGTGCGAGTATTCGTTGTAGAAAACACGTGACGGTACTGTATCATAGGATATCATATTACAGGGAAGTTTCTCCAGGCTCACTGATTGTTTTGATCGGTTGTGATGGGTTAGGTGCCTACAAGCAAGCCTTGTACAGAGCAAACATATCAGAGTACAGTAGAGCAAATAGAACAGTGTGAATAATCACGAAAGCTAGCACCAGCTAGCTGGAGTTGTCCTTGCTTTAGCAAGTGAGGGGCTGGAATCCTCGAGATCGCCGCATCACGTGAAAACTTCATATGTAGGGCCCCCCCCCCGTGGGTTCAACTCCCCCCTGGGACGCCTCTGGGACACCTCTCGGGCACCTCTTATGGCATCCACTTTGGTTTAACTCCTCCGGGATACGGTGCAACAGATTCAACAAGCTCACAGGTTCATGACATCGACATTGATAGAAGAAACCAAGTAAATCATGCAAGCAGCTTTGTTTTGCCTCTGAGACACCTCTTGGGCACCTCTTATGGCATCCACTTTGGTTCAACTCCTCCGTGGAGGTTTTGGGATACGGTGCAACAGATTCAACAAGCTCACAGGTTCGTAAACACATCGGATGCATCGAATAGTGTGGCAAAGTCCAGCCACGCTTCCTTAATTATCGGGGACTTCAATTCTAAGGTTGGCTGTGTCATTGCTGTTTGTGTGTCTTACATGTTCACAACGTTTTACCTCATGAGCATTTGCCTCAATCCGCTTGATGTCCCACCAGTCCGGATGCACCCCTGCTAGCTTTCGTCACCTACCCTCGGCCTCAAGTCATAATATAGAAGAGTTACTCAACAGCATACCAATGCTAGTCGTGTCAACAACCTTGTGCACTGCAAATATTGACATGATACATAACGCTAAAAATGAAAGAGGAGCAACAGCTAACACCAGTTGGCAATGTGCTTTGTCAACATTTGGGAACACTGATGATCTTAAGAAACCTTCAACTATATATGTGTATATACAATGCATATACATATATAATCATATATATAATGTATATATATATATATTATACAATTAAGGCTAACATTGCAAGCTCAAACTCTGCACACATCGCATAGCTTTGCATACTTAGATTGTAGATTCTTAGACTTGTACAGCCTGTTTTTCCAAGTACTTTAAATAAAGTGTGCCCGCCCTCAGCAGCTACCAAGTAGCCTGTTGCCATGGATGTTGCAGCTCATGAGCTTGCAGCGGATTTGGCCGGTGAGGCTTGGAAGTGGCTGGACACGAATTTGTTTTGGAACGCACGCGAAAGGAACGAACTGTCAACAAGGGAAAGGTCTATATAAAGATTCAGAACAGTTGGACCATGCGAAAAACCTGAGCCTCACCCGCACGTAGTTACTACTCAACGTAGGCTTTCTAGAAGCTAGACTTACCCCTCCCCGACTTTTCACGTCCAGAAAGAAAGAAGAATTACAGTGCTTTGAGACGAAGACTTTTCAGGCCAGACGCCTAGCCGTGTCCATGGAAAAAATGCAACGACCTCAGCGATTCGATCCTAACGAAAAAATACGAGAATGAACCAGCATGAGAATGAATGGATCCAAACGATGCGCTTTGTGATCACAGATCACAGTATTTTCCTTGTTTTCATTTTTTTCTTGGGGCCTTCAGACTACACCGTACTTTTTCTTTTTGCTCCCTTTTTGCAACAAAGGATATGGTGGGATGGATCGGGAATGGATGACTTTAAGGTTCGCAGCCACTCCCTAGCCGTTTTGAAGTTGTGCTAATAGCCATAGCCTCCAACCTAATAGCGATGGCCTCCAACCTAATAGCGATGGCCTCCAACATAGCAGCGATGGCCGATTTGCTTTGTTTTCGCTTTGCTTAAAGGTGATTGAGACCATGTCGACAATCGCTTTGCACTGATGTGATGCACCTAGGCGCCGGAGGCTGGAAGACGTTGCACCGCCTGGACCCCATCGGGAGGTTGACCACAATTCCAGGGTATTAGAGATGAAGCAACGTTAAGAACTACAGGAGTAATTTCTCAATGATGTCTGACCTGTCAAGCACACCCTGATATTGTTTGAGCGACTTTGGAAGACTTAGTTGATTTTGATAGACAAGTACCTCCATGTGACAGTGAAGTAGGTGCAAGCTTGGTGTTTGTATTTTGGCTGGGTATAGGATGGTGACAGATGACAAGCTTTTGATCTTCGGATCATTTGGCACTGCGCACACACAAAAAAACCTGAATGCTTTGACATGGCATGATTATGCAAACATTCGCATGAAGTCGTATCATCCAGAGCTGTGCGTGCTCAAGGGCAATTGATGCCATCGAACACTGCTGAGGCCCACTGATGGATCTAAGGCATGTTGCAGCTTTGCGCATTTGGTTGTCGGTATCCTGCTGAGTTTGCTTTCACTTCCAGCCAGCTTCAGCAGGAGGTGACATTGAGCAGCCTTGCAAGCTCAACAACAATGGTTGTGTGAGCTTATGAAGTGCTGTATGCGAGTAAGAAATTCCTATTCCTTCCTTCCAACCTCCAATGCAGTTGATCCTACCAAATTGTACGCGGTGTCAGCCACCATGCGTCAACTGCATAGCAGCGCATTGGCATAGCATTTTTTGCAGAGTATATACATATATTATCCAGTCATGAGTCATAACTTTGTTGTGTTTTGCGCTATCTCCCCCGTACCCCTAAGTACCTCGCATGTTTCGCTGGACTAGTGATTCCAGGAGCTTTAGCTTCTTGGTTGATAAGTCGTGTTCTTGTCCTTCAATT